TATTGATTTTTTTGGCGTTTGAGATGCCGATAGCTTTAACTTTTCACAATACAGGTTACTTCGACTATATCAGAGTTGGTCCTCCGACATCTAGTCCTCATCACAACTACAAACGCAACAGGACCATTATCCGTTTGGGCATCTCAGTAAGGTAGATCACTTCGACCGTTGCTGCATTGCCTTTGGTAATGTGTGCCGTAGACTTGCAGACCACGGCTCATAATCCCTGAAACATCGGACAATATTTTATATTCACCGACCGTGGAAGCCTATACACCATGACTTTATAAATGCCAAAAAATATGAGTGGAGTGTTCAGGTTTTGAACAAATTTCACAATTTTTTCATTGTTCATCACCCGAAGTTTTGTATATTCTGCAACTCAGTTGTAACTTTGGTATGTGATTTGATAGGTAGAGTTATAACTCATTTTCCCACACCAGAACCAAAATATCGTCTCTAGACGGGCGTTTCGCTAACCAAGTTAGCGTCATCAAGAGGTGCCAACTTGGTTAGAGAAATGCTGGTCAAGAGACAGTTTTCTTGTTTTCAATAGATTTTATATACACTTTTCCTTGGGTTTGTAGGTATGAATTCTGGATTCGAAGACTGTTCAATTCTGGACAGTTTATTAACAAAGAACAGGAACAACATCGAAAAAACTATCAGAGAGTTCAGTCGGCACCGCGTAGATGATGGACACGCTATTTGCGATTTGGCTATGTACAATTACATTGAAATGCGAGACCTAGTGAACAAAATCTCCTATCGCTTACGGAAGAAAGTAGATACCTTCTTATTTAATTTTTTTCCCACCATGTGGATACCACTTTACACCGCTGTCAGTTTTTCTCACATGGATTACAATCAATGCAGACTCAATCGAAAATGGCAAGATAATGTAGGTATTATTGAAATATGATTATACATATACANAAGTTGGAAATTTCGTAAAATTGTCACTCAAAAATTTGTGGACTGTTCAGGACTGTTCTCTTACTTGGGAGAAACTAAACTTTTTTGAAATTTTCAAACAACTCAGAATTTCAAAGTATGGGATCTCCAAGTTATGCATGTTGGGAAATCCGGACCTTCTCTTTGTTCTTTCCCTTTTCTTATTACCTCTTCCTTTCTTTTCTCTCATTTTCATTTTTTTAACTTTTATTAATTTTTTTACAATTATTTTTTTTCAATCTTCACGGTCCAAAATTTCCCAACTTTCTCCCAACTTTTTCCCAAGTCGGAAAAGCAGAGGGGAGGCTCCTCCCCATGGCGACGGCCCTGAACAACAAGTAAGTGGCGTACTTTTTTTTCCAATATTGTTGGCTGTAGTGCCCAATGAGACTCCACTGAACCCAATAATTTCCATCTAGTTAGGGCTAAATAAGTACCTTATTACTTCAAATAATTGTAGTAAATTTCAATCAGATCTGCGTAAAGATATTTATGATATTTTATAAATACCTTTTTTTTTAAACTTCAACGCCCTGTATCTCATAAATGAAGCAACTCCGGACATATGTTCATAAGATTTTTTTCAAAACGTACCGTAATTACGAAACACCCTGTATAGGAATTGCCCCCAAAAATACATTTCAGGCAATTTGCAATATAAACTCCTCGTGTGAAATTTCAGCTTGTTTCAAAAATATAGTATAGTACAATTATTTGGCAGTTTGCTTATAGTATTAATCACAATACAGTTATAAATAAAGCAATATTCACTATACCTACTACTCTGGAATGATATAAAACTACACTAATTATCTTTTTCAGGTAATGCAGTTCATATTCATCGCGTTTGGAATAATCGTTTCAGCAACATTATATCTCGTAACGAAAAGATTCTGGTAACTAAGAATAGATCTGATGGGTTTGTGGGGAATCTTGTTTATGGAAGAAGTAAACATTATCCTTCTTGTATTGGTCGCACTAATCGATTTGTCACATATATTTTCACCTCATACAAAACCGCAGTATCGATATCTACAACGACATAATGTTGATAGAGAATTTGTTATTTTCTTCTGCAAGTTTCAGAGACGAAGAAAAATCTGAAAAATCATATTATGTTTTCAAATCACAATCAATTTATTTCGCTTGTTATTTTTTACTGGGTGTACAATACCATATTACTAAATATTTCACTGCCACGTATTCACTTCTTTCTGTATTGGAAAGAAATTAAATTTTATTCAATAAGAATTAACTCTTATTTATCATTCTTTCAACCAAAATAATTTATCCAATGGATAGTGAAACATTCATTATGTCAATTCCATTTGAGAATGTTGTCTACATTGCCACCAGATAAATATGATATAAAGAAATAAATAAATGAAATCTACTTGTTGATTCAAACAATTTGTTTCATTTTCCCTTTAATTAAACTAGTAAATTATTACAAATGAACGTATAAAAAGAACAATAAACTGCGAGTACATGGATGGAATCGTCCTTACAAGGATATCAAACAACTAAATGATGCAAGAACTAATGAAAGTCCGTTAAAGAAAATTCCTTCTTCATAATCTTCCACTCAGAAAATTGAGTAGTCAATGACTCTCTATCCCAAACTTCAGCTTGTATCTGATCTGAGAAACATGTATGTATAATTTCAGTGAATGAACTGCATTGAAATTAATTCGTCAGTACAAAAAAAATCTCACTAGTCCGGACTTCCATTGTCTACTACATAAAATGATTTGAAATCCCTGAAACAACTAAAAAAGAAGAATTAAAAATGAATAGCTGAAAATAACAATTATATTAAGCAAAATAAACTTGAAANAGTCTGCATTTCCATCAATCGACTAAAAGAGGATTCATCAAGACTCTATTAGACCGTGCTTTCAGGCTGTGTAATACGAAGGAAGGTCTCGAAAAGAAACTGGACATCATCAAAAATGGCCTTCTACGGAATGGCTACTACAAAGCGATGGTAGAAAAGACTTTGGCTAAAAGAGAGCAGGAGCCTCGCAAGAAGAGAAGCCGTCACAACCAGTGCCTGCACTTCTCTACATCAAAGGATTATCGGAGAGGATAAGAAGAATTGGTTCCAACTACAACATCAGAACCTGCTTCAGATCCGGTAACACTATCCGTAGAAGCCTCACAAAAACCATGCCACCAAACGCGGACTGCGATTCGAAGAACTGCATTTACCAGATACCCTGTGAGTGCGGAAAATCCTATATTGGTGAAACTAAGAGGCAATTGAATGTTCGCATTGCCGAGCACAAAAAACACACACAGCGAGAGAAAACCATCAAATCAGGAATAGCAGACCATGTTTGGACCCATCAACACAACATCGAGTGATCCCAAGCTGAGATCTTGCACAGAGAGGAACATTGGTTTAGGAGAAAATTCAAGAAAGCCGCATACTTGTTGTCCAACAACGTATTCAGCCAAGCCAGAGTAGAAATATGGATTTTCATCAAGAATCGGTAGATTCAATCAATGCTTCATCCAACCACTGACACCTATCAGGGTTAAGCACTACCTTTTTCTGAGATTTATGACTTATGTAGTCTATATACAAAGTTCCTGTGTTTATTGCGCTTGTCAATAAGCTTCAAGCGGATAGTTCCAAAAAACACCAATATTCCAAACTCACCCACAATGATACATGAAGTAATAATAATTGAAAGCGATCTGGTATGCAATAATGAATCCAATGACATGGCTTCTGCCCTAACGAAAATGCTATCTATGGAAAGATTCAATCCAACTATAACAAAGATGAATGAGGCTTCCTGAAACAGTCAATTGCAAAGCCAATGTTCGACATTGATTGCCGAACAAGATTCAACTACTGTCTTCACTGCAGCTTTAACTGCAAGGCAACTAAAAGAAACCAGAGTACAATAACGAAGCACTTGTGAATCATTACCGATCGAACAGAGGTCTCATCAGTGGTGTCAGGCTAAATCAAGAAAGCATTCCACCATGCTCCCCGGGGTTGAGTGTCCTGGGATAACATATAACCCACACTGTTTCTGTGAGCAGCAGCAGAAATCACAACCGTCCACCCCCCATCACTTCCGAGTGATCTTCAGCATGCTGTTTGGCGCTTCAGCTAGATTGATAGCTGACTTCTTTTGGTCGGAAATCAGCCTTTAGTGAGTTTACTTCCTTATCTGATTATCACGGAAGCGTTGCTGAACCAAACTGTCACTTTAGGAGCAGAGTTAATTGTATTTTTCGTTACGAAAGCTACAGAATCAACAGAAGACTCAATTCACGAATATCGGAGTTTGAAGAGTTAGAATGGTCTTTGCTAAAATCGTAAAAATATCTGATCGAGCTCAGGACAGTGAGTCAACGCATTACCACTGCGCCAATACACTGCTCATTAGATACTGAATGAAATTAAAGTTGAGTATTTTGCTGTTTATGTGAAGAGATTCGTTGGAGAAATAATGGTTTACAAATATTATATGGAGAAACTTGGTTCTTAGCAGTATGACATGATTTCGAAGAGTTTTCAATAAAGACGACTTTGTGTGAAGACAATTTCAATGTGAATAAAATGTTCATTAATTTTCTCAGAACTCAAACCAACTCTTTTGTTAGCACTTGCAGATAGTATGAATATTACTTGAAGAGAATGACATCCGGGTTAATGGGCCGTGACTGAATGGAACCCAAGCGTTTCGTCTGCCACTGCGGTAGATATTATCACTTAGATATGCGTTAACGGCGAGTATGAAGGTTATATCATTTAGATGTCTCAGAAGCGTCGATATCGTTCAACTAAAGTTTTAATTGCCCCCTTTTTTTCCAGGCTGGTGGTTGGAGTTATCATTTTGATTCAATTCACGATAATAATAACAAATTTTCACAAAACATACTTCATTTTCAGTAATTATTAATTTGTCTCCATGATGACAATATCAACTGGTTACCAAATCAGCTTAGGAGAGAAAAGCATCTGTCCGGCGAGAGAGGGGAAACCTGCTTGCACTGCCGTATGCGTGAGAGAGAGGGAAACCAGACAGACTGGCGCTGTTACGAGTTACGTAACGAAGCGTAATGTTTTTCTGGAATAGAATGCTTGAATAGCTATGGATTGTTTTCTATTGGTTATTGGGAAATAAAACTTTAAAGAGAAACTACAGTCTTGGCTTTAAGTAATTATATCACCCTCAAATCAGGGTTGAATACATTACAGTAGGAGAGCTGGAATTTACTGTGCGGGAATAAATCTTTATTTCAGTTACTCACTCCTATCATTCTTCCAGGCTGAAGCAATATGGATCAATATTCTTACAGACAGCCAGGCTCCACTTTGGGCACTGATGAAGCCAAAAGAGACATCAAGACTGGTCTAGGAATGCCGTGAAGAACTGAGGAAAATGGTGGGCATGATTAGATTGCGCATACGAGTATACTGGGTACCATTATACTCGGATATCGCAGGGTTATGGGTACTACTTTCTCAATAACTATGAGTAGGAAAAGATAATGACATCTCCCCTCACAAAGACACCATTGGTGGCGTATCTATTTTTTCCTCTTTTCGCTTGATTTCCTCACCTATAGCTGGCTAATCATTACTTCCAGTCACATTCTGTAACTATTCAAGTAATTTTTTTTAACTCACCTACGGTCGTTACTGGACATCTTCGTGGAATAATTCCAAAGGAATATTGGAAGAAGCCTCTGCCTATGATCACGACCGGAGCGAAACCGATCCATCGTCTTATCCTCTCTTGTATCCTATTCAGGATCGGACCTTCCACTTGATCGAACAGATCAGTTTCACCGAAAGAAATCACCGGTACCAGGGGAGTACCGTTCTTCAAAGCCAATTTCACGAATCCTTTTCTTTTCCTCAGTATGACTTTATAATTTCCCGGTTTACAGTAGTACGCCTCCGCCGCTCCTCCCACCATCAGTACGCAAATATGGCCTCCTTGTGGTCTGCTCAGGACATAGTCGATGGACTTGGCGGATGCAGAAATTCCCCCCAAGCTCAGAGCCAGATCGCGATAAAATGGAACATGATAATGTTGAGCCAAGGTTACTACTCGCGGATCATGAGCCGGGAAAAGACTCCTGAATTCACTGTACTCGCTGGCGAACGCACTGAAAGCACTAGTTGACAAAATCCCGTGTGGAAAGGCACAGAAAAGATAATTCCTCTTCGGATCCAATTCCACGAAGGGCACCTTCTCCAAATGTAAAGGAAAGTAGTCCCTCAGGTACCTCCACCAGACCCATTTACGGACCCATCTCCTAGGTCGTCCACCACACTCTGATATATCTTTGTCCACTACCCATACCCAAAACAAATATATAACTATCAGCCACCAATATTTCCAGTACAACACCAAGTATACGGCGAGGACGAAACCTAATATTGCTCCGAAAGTTATGGTGAACATCCAAGCGGCTGTTGCGAGAGTCTGTAAACGCCGGTTCATTGGGACACTGAGGGGAGCAAATCTGATTCCCAAAATCTGCATCTGAAAAGAAGATAGGTATTTGAAATGATAAAGAAGGAATCAATGAAAACATATGCCAATGTTGGGAACTGCTATCCATTCCCAATTGGAACGGCAATAAAAATAAGAGTACAGTCATAAACATTTCTTGCCTGTGGCCCCTAGTCGCCCAGACAGTTAGTAAACGTGCTATCAAATGTAGTTGAGGAATAAAGGCTAGGCTAGCTGGACTGGCTGAATACTAATTTTTTTGTCCGTTTCACAACATTTCTTTATCAGTGCCATGTGTTCGTGGGGTTAGGTGAAGTAGTGAGTGGTTTTGCAAACCGATTTTTGAAAACTTTTTCTAGAGATCAATTACCCTAACACCAAACTGATATTTTTGCACTCGACGCGCGTTTCGCTAACAAGGTTAGCATCTTCAGGAGAAGAAAATTGATACTGAATCTAAAGACAAGGGTTAGCTGTTTATATACCTAAAGTTTTTAGATCGTTATTCAACCCGATGGTGATTCCACCTCATCCGAATATAGCGAAGAAGAATTTTTATTTTTCTAGTAATTTTGTTGGCCTCTATTATTTTGTAAATATATGTTTGACGAGAATTCGGTGTGATTATTTGTGTTTCCATTGTATTTTAGAGTTTTCGACTCGGATATCTTGAATTTCGAAGTTTTTCATAATTACCCATGGTGGAAAAATTCAGTTGAGATAACTTTTTCATGGGGTGCTCAATTGCTATGATTGTAGGAATAAGTAACTGAAAAACTACCACTGAAAAATAATATTCCGACGCTTATGTCGTGGCGGAAATTCCTTCTTCGTGCTTTCTTCGTGCTGTTCCAATTGGTATTGGAAATACTATAGTTGAATGATTTTGTTAAAATTTTTGAGAGCAATAAGATATCAGTCTCATTTGTGACGAGACAAAATGATCTGAGCGTTTTAACGTTTTATGAAGTACTCCAACAAGATTGAACCACTGGAGACAATATACCAAAAAATTAATGAATCAGCAATATCTGGAATAATTTTGTACGCCACATATATGTTTAATGATACAAGCAAGACTCATAATGATTATCTGATGCAGTAACAACGAAAATTTACCTGAAATTGCGTGTAAAATAGTTTGCAGATAACAATAAAAAGGTTATTAGCTATCTCAAAGGAAAATGTAAAAAGTAATAGATTGAAAAGAACCTGATATTCAAAAACAACCTGCGTACTTTAATGAATAGAACAACTGTCAAATAATAACGTTGACATGATTTAAAATTCTTATGACTTCAGTCAACCAAAATTGTGAATATGGAAGCAAAGTTATAAAGTACTATTTACCTTTGGTTTTTTTGCTGATTGGGTTGACGAAGCAAACGTAAATCAGATGAATATTCACAAAATATTCAGCTTACTTTTGATCGGCAATTACTAATGACTAGGTTAGTATTTTATAAAAATATTTCGGAATTTACGGAGTAACTTATTGGGGTGTATTAGAGGTTTGATCTATCCTCCTCTTCTGAAAGGTCTCCATTCCCATACTTTCCCATACAAAATCGATTATTTCGATGGTAGTTTACAACAAATTATATTTTTTCTCCAGTAAATAGAATGGAACAAAGTTAGCGAAAGTGAATCAATACATATGAAGTCCCCTACCATGTATCTATCTGTCTGAACCCGATAATATCAAAAACTACAGAAATAGTTTCCGCCGATGGAAGAGAAAGGTTATATGTATAATTTCTTAACGTTTTGTTTGAATTTGTTGAAATATAAAGATTTTATTCGTGAGAAGGCGGGGCGGTGGTGATACCCGTTCGGGTTGTCATCGAAAACACTGCCTAATTCCTTTGAGACATAAAACAATTCATTACACATTTATAGGCCTACAAAAAAGCCCACGATGGCTCATGTATATATTTTAAGGATAATGTTTGACATGAGTGTCACCTATAATGGCGTAATTGGAAAGTTATTTATTCAGATACGATATTAATCTTTCGACAAAAACAGCGAAAAAGCGCTGTCTGATGTTGAATCATAAATGCTTGGTGTTTAGGGTTTGATTTTCAATCATTTTCCATCGTTTATGTGAATAATCGTTTTTGGTCTAGTGGGNCGAAAAAAAATTGTTAAGGAATGCAAATTGCTGCACAACTAATAATATAATGATAGATTCAAAAAATCGGCAGATAAGACTTATTGTTAGGGAATTGGTTAAGGTGAGAAACGGGTGCAATTTTTTTTTTCAATAAAACGTTAAAATCGAATTTCTCGATAACAAATGAACCAATATTGAAAATTTTTAAGGTATAATAGCAAGGCAGGAGTCTTCTATATCATAATTGGACTCTCTCGAAACAATAATTAACGCTCTGTACATATATGCCTACCTGTGATTTATATAGGCATATCAATATATGGTCATTATAAGGTTATGTTGAAATTCTAAGAGTGCCTCTCATGTGGACCTACAATTTTGTAGGTACTTGTGGCAGATACCCAACGGAAGGACAACAACTAACCCAGCTAATGCCGCGCAGAAAGCTGAAGCACAACCATCAGGCACCTGTGCAACGTCTTCCATTTGGAAGATTCGTCTCAAGTTACTTCTTGCATATGAAAACCAGAAATTGAAGACTGGCTGGAATTGATTTTGTTTGGTCGGGATACTCAGACGGTTCACTCCGTCTGAAGGGACCTGTCCGATGCATATGGGTTGGCCCCCATACAACCAAATCCTGAATCCGGCCCTGGGGATCGCCTGTAGTGATAATTATATGACATCAGTTCGTCAACACTAACAAATTCTGTCATTTGTTGTGTTATACTGTTGTGTTATTATGCTTGTTGTCTAATTCGTTTTAGTATTGAGTTATCAGATACAGAATATAATCGAAGCCTGCAATTTTACTGAGAGATTCATTGAGAAATAATGGATTTAAAATACTTGATGGTGCCGTATTGTAACAGTACCACCACAGAAGAATAATACAACCAGTAGGCTCTCTTACCACGTGATCCGGCCGAGTTGCCGGGAACTTTCAACCGCTCTTAGGATGAGATTCTCATCCAACGCGTTCAGTGCTGTAGTATCGAAGGATTCGACGGTGCCACGGGCATTGGATTAGTTATAATAAATGATCGGAAATTGATAGTTTAGTTGCTGGTGTTATTATTGTTTTTAGTTTTTGTAGTTGATTATAAGGAACTCACTACAAAATCGTCTATAATATCCTTAAATTTCGTTTTATATGAGCGCACGCCTATGGTAAAAGAACGAAATTGGCTCCGCACTTTGTTTCGAGGTCACCGTGAATTTATGAATGAAAGTAGTGAGAGTGGACTTACTGGTTGATTTTTACTATGGTACCACCGTGTTCAGGCCAAACAGATGTTCATGAAATTACCGTTTAAGTATAATAAATGAAACACTTGGTTGAAAGCAGTCATCTCAGAAAATCGAAATAGGGTTATCACCTGGAAATCTTTAGAACACGATCACTTTGATGAAAAAATGTGATGTACTATTGTCCTTATGTCACCATGATATAATTTTTTCCATTCTCTCAAAAATGAAATGTTCCACACATGATAGTATGGATAAATAAACATGTCTTATCTTTATTCAAACAGGGACTTTATATCTGATATAATCGAAGTGAACATTATCACATAATTCTCTCAAAAATGAAATGTTCCACACATGATAGTATGGATAAATAAACATGTCTTATCTTTATTCAAACAGGGACTTTATATCTGATATAATCAAAGTGAACATTATCACATAACTCAGAAAAATTCTCAAAACTGTTGAAGACAATATTTGTTATTGATTGTTTCAATATTATTTTTAAAACACTTGATAGTGAATTCATCCAAGTTACTCACATATCCCTCAGTATAAATCGTTAGTGTTGTCAACGAAGAAGTAAATATAGTAAAAGTAAAATATCTCATAACATGTGATAATTGTGTGTGGGTACTGAATGTACTTTTCGCAATTCATTGATTTGGAAATATTAGTTGAAAATAATCCTCACATCAAATGACCATGTCAATAATATCCAAGTAGAAATTTGATAAATAACTAGAGATCAAATTACAATAGGCTCTGGTTATCGGCATCGCATGATGATATGGTCATTCATCCTTAGCACACGCATTTTTCCAAATAGTTTGCTGGTAGCCTCCTGCTTCTTCTACATTTGCCTGAATTTCTCACCAACTATTCATTCTTATAGATTCTTATAGAAAAAATCTTGTTCTCGACCGCCTTGGGGAGCCCCGTATATGTTTTCAATCAGAGCAGAATACATGCCGTATTGATATGTATGTGATATTGATCTACTATATAAAAATGGATGTTTGTTGGTTGGTTGGTTGGTGGGTTGGTTGGTTGGTTGGTTGGTTGGTAAGTGATAAACTTCTACATCGCTCAACCGATCGTGATGAAACTTGACATGTATAAGTAATTTTTCATAGAGAAGGTGTTTAGGCTATCAATGTTTCTGTAACTCGCCACTAGATGGCGTTGTAGAGCAACTTTTTTTTTGAAAGCACTGTTCTATAACGCTGATTCTGTCGAAACATTGGAACAGCTGCGATTTAGCAACATAGTACTAGTATTGTATATGATATTGTATATATGTTGATGTCAGGAGTCAGTCTAATTTCATTGCTTTCTCAAAGACATTCGAACGTGTTGGGATTGGAGATATTGGTCGGTAGTTCAATATTTCATCCTTGCTTTCATATTATCAACTATCAACAACAGAGCATCTTTATTTTCGAACTGCATTAGGAATCAAAGAGTGTGAACTTTCACGGTCGGATTTTTTGGCCGTGGTCTGCAGGTTTTCATGTCTGTCGTTTCGTATACTACTGCGGTAGACATTATCAAAGGCGATGAGGTAAAGGTCGAAGTGCTCGATTTGCTCTTAACGCAGAAACTACGATGTTAAAACTTGTATCTCGTTTTCTATCATTAGTGGCGGGCGTGGATACATGTC